TTTATTTATTTATTTATTTATTTATTTAAATTTGAACCAAGAAGGACAGAGTGAAAGAGAAAGAGAGAGACAGAGAGAGAAAGAGAGAGAGAGAGAGAAAGTGAGAAAGCAGGCCACCAGGTCTGAAATTCGAACCAAGGTTGGCCATGGGGGAGTCCAACACCCTTAACGACCATGCCACCCTGCTGGCTCCAATTTTAGCCATTCTAGTGGTACAAATTATCCTTTACTTAATGACTAATGACAAAGTATGTCATCACATACTTTTTTGTCATAGTAAAATCTTCTGTAGTGACTGTTCGAAGGTTCACTTTTTTATTATTATTATTTTTTTTAGGTTCTTGTTATAGGGCACATGTACTTGCCAGAGAGATAAAAGACAGATACAGAGAGATGGAAAATGAGAAATCACCCCCACGTGGGGATGGCCATACCACAATCCTTTCTTCTGTTGGGATTTTGGGCATGCATGCACACATGTCTGACATGATTTTTCAGACCACCAGATTTGGGACTCAAACCATAGTCAGCCATGTAGGAGTCCAGCATCTCAACCACCATACCACCTGGTGGCCCTCTAAACATCCACTTTTTAATTCAGTTGTTTGTTTTTTCATTACTCAGTTACAAGAGTTATTTATATATTTTGCCATGAGCCTTTCATCAAATATACCTAGTTGTCAATATTCAATGTTTTATTCTATAAAGTCACTATAAACACTGAATTAGTGAATACAGAAATTTTAAAAATGATTTATTTTATTAGTTTTATTTGTTTTTATTATTATTTAATTTGACAAGAGAAGGAGAGAGAGAGAGAGTAAGAGAGCAAACCGCTAGGTCTGAGGCTTGAATTGTGGTCAGCCACGTGGGAGTCCAGCACCTTAATCACTACACAACCTGCTGGCCCAAATACAGAAATTTTAAATGGGACAAACATAGTTAGGTTCCTGCAAGATTTTAATCACAACGTTTTTGTCAACTAAAATAACATTCACAGTATAAAGGTTCATTTGTCAATATCTCATCATCATTGAAACAAGTCAATCTCAGTAACATTGAAAATCTGCTTTTCCACATACCCCTTTTTCTATTCAACTCTTGGGTGGTATTTACAAAAGAAGGTACCTGAACTAAAACTATGAACTTCCAGGAACAAAGGAGAGGCAACTATAGCATCATGAATCAGCAATGCCTCTAAAACAGAGGTAAGTTATTTCTCTGGTTCTGCTGTGCCCCACAGATATAGAGAAGGACGAACTGTTGAAAAGAAGAAAGGTATTCTTCCTTCATCTATAATAACTTAAGGACTCACTTTTGATTTGTCTCAAGCAATTGAGTTGAGAGTCATAGTCGGTTTTCAGACATATGTCCAGCTATAATTCCTGAAGTCATCATACTGAGAAAAAATTTGCAACATAGATGATGAAATGTTCACATAAAAAATGAGCAACACATGTGAACAGGCAATTTTCAAAGAAGAGATACAAATAACTATAAAAATTCTTTGTTAAATATTGGAAAATGTGAAGAAGGGAAAAAAAGAGACACCAGTAGATTTTGGTGAGTATATACAAGAAATAGAAAAATTTCTGGTCAAGGAACTGTGGTCAAATTTGCTTGTGAATATCAGTTTGGCAAAATGTATATACATTTAAAACATCTATATTCTTTGGGCCAGCAGTTACAGCTCTAGGAATCTATCCTATTGAAAAAATTTTATTATGGACAGGTGAACAGGTGCAAAAATTTACAACAATGTGGTTAGCTCCCCCTCCCTTATCAACAGGAGATACATTCCAAGATGCTAAGTGGATGTCTGAAACTGCAGATAATACCAAACACTATAAATACTATGTTTCTTCAATCTGATAACTGAGGCAACTACTAAGAGACTAACAGGCAGTCTGAGTGACTAGAGACTACTTGTATATACATGTATACGCTACAGATGGATATTCTGGACAAGGGGGTGATTCCTATCCCGGCAGGACAGAGTAGTACAGTGCAAGATTTCATCAGGCTACTCGGAAAGGTACGAAAGATACTCAGCATACAATTTAAAACTTATAAATGACTTGTTTTTATAATTCATTAATATTTCTAGACTGCAGCTGACCACAGGTAAGTGAAACCACAGAAAGCAAAATCACTAAGGAGAAACTACTGTACAGACATATACAGAGATCAGAGGCTGCACAGCAAAATGTAAATGGGGCTAACAGTAACAGAGTGTTTGGGGAAAACTGCAACATTCTTTATTCTTCCCCCATGCTAAGTGTTCACTATGGAAGATGTTGCATGTGTGTAAACAGAAAACACAGTTAGAGCTATTTATATTTTGGGGGTAGGGTAGGAAGAAGTCAATTAATGGAGGACCAGCCCTTTCCCCGTCTTCTACTTCAGGCCTTCTCCTCATATCCATGCTTTCCCTTCACTTCCCAAATATGTCCTGAAGCCTTTCTCAAATTTTATTTCTTTTCTCTCTCAAAGCATATCGTCAAGTTTAAGGATGTGCCTGCCATCTATTACCGCAGTGGGTTCTTTCACACGGAGCAAATAATGTAACTTAAGCAGACCAGCAATAAGAAGAATGTCTTCTTCACTGAACGCATGTGGTAACTGCCTGGGTTATCATGTGGCAACTCAGAAAGAAACACCAACTTTGAGATTCCTTTACTCAAAAGACCCCCCCCTTCCCAAACATGACTTTAGGAAATAACTGGAATAGTTAAACTCATTGGTTATGAGAGTACACAAAAGATTGTTTCTGAGTGTACTAATTCACCTATGGGAGTGAGTAACTTCTTGGCCATCTAAGAGGTTAATAGAACGACCACATGGCAACTCCACACTTATTAACCTGTTTGTTCTAGAAGCCTACCAGGAGGCCTGCAGAGTTTCAGGTCTTACTATATAAACATGGGCTTGGGCAAGGACTTAATCTCTTATTCTTTACCAGTCTTGCCAATTAATTTTAAAAGTTTATAGGTTTGGCTCTGTGTCCTGGTGGCTAAGGCAGATGGATCCCACATGGCTGACCTCATGGTTCAAGTCTCAAATCTGGCAGCTTGAGAAACATACCAGGTGTATGTACATGTGTGCCCAAAATCCCAATAGGAGGGAGAGATGGAGAAGGGATTGCGGTGTGATCATCCCCTATGAGGAATACTTTTTCCCTCTTCTCTCTCTCTTCCTCTCTCTGGTGAGCGCATGTGCCCTCTGGCAAAGAAATGATAAATCTGCTGGGACCAGCAGATGGCATAATGGTTATGTCACTGGACTCCTACATAGTCGACCGTGGTTGAGTCCCGGACCTGGTGGCTTGAAACTCATGCGAAGTGTATGTGTGCAAGTGTGCCTGCCTAAAATCCTGAGAGGAGAATGGGGGAGAAGGGATTGTGGTGCAGCCGTCCTCCCTAGGGGATTATGTCTTGCTTTCTGCTTCTGCCTCCCTCCTATCTGTCTGGCGAGTGCATGTGTCCTGTAGTGAAAATCTCTTTAATTATAAAACTGCCATGACCTTTCAGGGGCTATGTCAGTTGGTAGGGATGCCCTGACAGAAGACCTGTCCCCATGAGTTCCTATTCCATCCTCAGGCCCACGTTTGCTCCTCATTCCAAGTGCCGCATGGCGAGGATAACTTCATTCTGTGCCTAAAGCGCAAGCCCACTACAGACAGCACCATACGGCACCTGACAGGTCTGCTGGCTGCTTTCTGTTCTCCTGCACAGACACACAGCCTGGGACCAATGCTCTCTGGTAAAAGAAGTGAACTTCGGCCATCACTTGCTACCAAGGCCTATTGCTTGCTAGTAGGCCCCTAGAGTTGTTTCCTCCTGTTTGTAGGACAGACCTATCTTCAGGTGACCTGACAATCAACTCTGGAACACCTGGGAGCAAGTGAGAACATTCTCTATTTCTCTCGCATCCTCTGACAACACCGGGGCAAAATGGACCACATTATTTCTACCCAGAGGCTCCCAGTTAAACAGAATATTGGCTCAGTAGTTACTTATTACAGCTGGTTGGCTGAATAGTTTAATCTCTTATCCGTGGCCATAATCATTTTCTGTTTTGGTTTATCTTCCAAGATTTTTTTTAATGAAATAATACATCATCTTCTCAGCCTCCTCATTAGAAAGAGAAAAGGGTATATTGGAAAGCTCTTGGGATTAATATAAAAATGTACAAAGGCTTCTCTGAGCTTTTAATCGGTCCTTCATAACAAGTCCCCTACATTAATGACTTAATGATGTTTGGCAAAACAGGGAGCACTCAATCGGGTCTCAGACTAAGAATATCACAATACCAAGAATTAATTACAGAGCAATCCTGAGCGAGTGTGTGTTCCAAAAAAATTCCCAGATAGCTACAGCTTATAGATATGTTTTTACGAAATAACAGTGAATTCAAAGGGCACTACAAATACACGACATTCAACATCCTGCAGAAAGTGTCTAAACGAAGTCCTTTCAGACGATGATGCCACTGGGCTTAGAACAAATTAGGCTACAGAAAAACAACAAGAAAACAAAAGAAAACAAGAAAAGCCCTGTAACTTGGCCTGTTGTTTTCTAATATATCCCTTCCTGCCCTCTGTAGTTCATAAGGTTTTTTTCTCATGTTAATGACCACATACAGCAAACAGATTCGGTCTTTCTGCTTTTCTTTCTTGTAGAATGATTTCCCTAAAGCCAATGTTGGGCAAAATGCCACTAATACCGCCATAAAGCCCCTGCAGTGCTTGAAGGGAGAGGCAAGAGATAGAGCGTTAGGAGGTAATCAAGCTTACAGATTAAGCCTTACTAAAGCTACAAGACGAGCACAGCTCTTGGTGTTTATTAACTCTTCTAGCACTGACCGCTCCTCCCCCACCCCAAAGGCACAAAAAACAAAGGTCTTTTCATCAATGGACCTCAGAGGCTGGTCTGCTTTAACTTCAAGCTCCCAGAACGGCATGTGTACTAGAGCTGCCTTTGGTATCCACCACACTCAGGCAACAGTTCCTGCTCATCCATGCTATGTTACAATATCCTCCTTGTGCAGGGACCATGCTAATCTCTGTATTGTTACAATGTCAGTGTGTGCGCTGCCAAAGTGAGCACAAATTTAAAAACAATCAATACCTACAGACAGTAAAAATTTCTATCCATTCCATTCACTGACATCTGTGAGAGCTGATTATGATAGGCACTATTTTTTTTTCTTTTTTTTTCACCAAAGGGCACGTATGCTCACCAGAGAGACACACACAGAGAGAATGAGAAAAAGAGGGCGAGGGAGAAGCACCTACTGGGGTGTGTGGTGTGTGTGTGGGAGGACAGGGTGTAGGCATGCCACAATTCTTTCACCTCCATTTCTCCATCCTACCAGAATTTAGGCATGCATGCACCAAAGCACCTGGAGTGGTTTACAAGTTACCAGGCCACGATTCAAACCATGGTCAGACATATAGGATCCAGCTCCACATAGGATCCAGCTCCATCAGGTTACAGGGGCTAGTCTTAGGCACTATATTCTAAATTAAGAAAAAAAGCTTTCTGTGATAACAGGAGTCTGGAATAAGAAAAAGTTAAAATGACAAAAATAAATCAATTTGAAAAGCAAAGAGATACAAGTTTGATTCAAATTCAATAGTGATTTCTAGCAAGAGCTTCTCTGCTAATCCACCTAGGCAGAGGTTAATAAAACATGCTAATGTTGGGGTGACTAGCACAATTTACTTACTAAAGGTGCCACCTGGTGCATTAAACCAAATCCAACAACCTTTTCCCACCTCTGGAACTACATAAGCCAAGCCCAGGACACACAGTCATATCGTTTTTTAGAATGTGACAACTATTGGACTTTGGTAATAAGCTGGGGCTTGTTACTTTGCAAAGCTCTAGAATCTTCATGTAGGGTATGTAAGCTTCTTCATCACTTCCACGTTTGGACATCTTACAAGGCATTATACCAGGTTGTTAAGATTGGGGGTTCTAATTGTTGAGGAATATTTATCTGATTTTAAGCTATAATTTACCACCTCTGATGACAAGCTATATTCCTTCACCCTCCCAGGGAAATTAAGTTATGTAGATTACTAATGAGCAAAAACAAACTTTGTATCATAAATTTGTAACAAATGTGTGTTGTAACATTGTTAAATTAATTAGATAACAATGAATTAGATAACAATGACTACGGCTTCCCAATCATAGTTTGAGACAGATAAATCTGTACTTTATTGATAGTAGGAGCAGAGAGCCCTAATCACTAAACGTGCCAGCACAGTCTGGTTTCTGTAGGATAATGGCTTATCTCTATATTCATAACAACAATCTCATTCATCATAACTCATAGTAAAAAAAAAAAAAAGAACTGAAGTCAAGCTAATGGAGGAAACGTGTGAAAAGTGATTGGATGGGTAAAACTCTGTGTGCAGCTGGAGAGTCCTAATTGATTATATTGTGCTGCAACTAAGCCTTCTGCCTTGTACGTCAGATCTTTATCTAACTACATTTCAATTGATTTTCACTGATAGTCTTCTTTCTTATGTCGAAGGCTTAAAGTACTAAACTAATAAAAAGATAAAAGACTTTCTAATATGGATTTCAAAATATGTCCAAGCATGCCTTCTATGAAATAAAACAGCAGACTGGGTGTGGATAAGCCCACCAAATCAGAACCTGTGAATGAGGGATGGAAATCAAAAAGAAAAAATAGGATTTATACCTGTATAGAGTCCAAAGCAAAACACCAACCCAAACATTCAAAGACAAAAATGTTAATCATTCATTTTTTAAAATAATTATTTATTTGATTTGATTTGATTATTATTATTCAATTTGACTAGAGAGAAACAGAGAGAGAGGGAGAGTGAAAAAGCAAACTTCCAGGTCCAGGACTCAAACCTTGATTGGCCATGTGGGAGTCCAATGCCTGAAACACCACACCACCTGTCCACCCCTCTAATGTTCATCTTCTGAGTTGAGTACTGATTGGTTTGGTACAATGGCTAGATACTATTCAACTTAAAGACCTACTGGCTTAATTAATACACTAAATCAAAAATCCCACAATAGATTGCTGAACAGAATTTAGAATGGGGGTATAAACCATTATTTTTGGGAATTTATTTTAATAGTTTAATTGATACACAATGAACTGTGCATATTTACCATTTACAAGTTTACAATTACTGTGCATATTTATAATTTACAAGTATACAATTTAGAAGTTTGACATGTGTACACACACACAAACCACAGTCATGAAACCTTCACAATTAAGACATGAACCCTGCCAACACTGCCAAAAGCCTGCTCATGCCCCTTGGTAATCCACCTCTCCTATTGTCCACCTCCACGCATAGGAACCCACTCATATGCTTTCCATTATCATAGATTACTTAGAATCTTCCATAACCTCACAGAAGTGAAATGCATTCATTTTGTCTGATTGCTTTTACTTAATTCTTTAACATCTACCCAAGTTATTGCCTTTTTTTTTTTTTTTGAGAGGTTTTTGCTATAGGGCGCATATGCTCGCCAGAAAGACAGAGAGAGACAGAGAGACAGAAAGCAAGAAATCACCCCCCGGGGGATGGCCACGCCGTGATCCCTTTTCCTCCATTCTCCCCTCAGGATCTTGGGCACGCACATACACGTGCCTGACATGAGTTTAGGCCACCGGGTCTGGGACGTGAACCATGGTCGACTACATGGGAGTCCAGCGACATAGTCATTACATCAACTGCTGGTCCTGTTATTGCATTTATTAAAAAATTCATTCCTTTTTATCATACAGTAGTATTCCATTTTATGCATAAATATCAATTTGTTTATCCATTTACCTGTCGATGCACATTTGGGTTCTTTTCAGTCCTGGATGTTATAAAAATAGCTGATTTTGAACTTTAATGTACAAGTCTTTGTACAAACAAATGTTTTCACTTCTCTCAATTAATTACTTGGGGATAGAATGGCTAGGTAATATGACAGGTGCATATTTAATGTTTTAAGAAACAGCTGAGATGCTTCCAAAAATGTTTGCACAATTTTATAACTCCACTGGTATATAAGAATGCCAGTTATTCTTTTTTTTTTTTTTTTTTTTGGAGAGGTCGTTTGCAATAGGGGGCATGCCATTTCTGGAAATAGGGCGCATGCACTCTCTGGAAAGACAGAGAGACAGAAAGCGAGAAACTACCCCTCCCCCCCCAGGGAGGATGCCACGCCGCAATCTCTTCTTCTCCATTATCCTCTCGGGATCTTGGGCATGCACACACATGTGCCCAGCATGAGTTTAAGCCACCGGGTCCGGGACTTGAACCGCGGTCGACTACATGGGAGTCCAGCGACATAGCCATTATGCTAACTGCTGGTCCCAGAATGCCAGTTATTCTATGTTTTTGCCAAGACTTGTTTTAAACAGTATTTTTAATTTCAGAGAATCTAGTAAGTGTGTAGTGGTATCTCATTGTGATTTTAATCTGCAATTCCCTATGGATGAATAGAATTGAGCATTTTTGTACATATTTATTTGCCATTGTATTTCTTCCATCACCAGTGAAATCTTGATAAATCATTATCCATTTTTAAAGATAAGAGTTTGACAGGCCCAGCCATGGTGGCTTGCACTGCTGACTTGAGGTACTCCACACCAGAGGCCTGGGTTCAACTCCTGATACAATCTAAAGGCCAGCTACAGTGGCGTGTGCATGTGAGCCCACTGACTTGGGAAGCAGAAGCAGGAGGATCACATGCTTGTGGCTGGCCTGTGTAACATAGTTGGGCCCTACTTTAAAAGAGAACATAGTATGCCCTGAGTGGACTAGTCAGAGCAGCATGTAATGGCAGATACTGCTACTTGGCAGGCGGAGGTTATATAGAGGACCTGGGTTTGATTCCTGGCCCACCCTAAAAGCTGGGTAGGGTAGCACATGCCTATAGTCCCAGCTCCTCAGGAGACTGAGGCAGGGAAAACTGCATCACAGGAAGACCCTGTCTGGAAAAGAAATTGACAGTATCATGTGTATTACACGTTTTGTTTTGTTTTTTTTTAATTTGGAGAGGTTTTTGCTATAGGGCATGTGCACTTGCCAGAAAAATAGAGACAGAAAGCGAGAAATCACCCCTCAGAGGGGATGACCACACTGTAATCCTGTCTCTTCCATTCTCCTTTCAGGATCTTGGGCACTCATGCACATGTGCCTGGTGTGAGTTTAAGCCACAGTGACTGGGACTCAAACTATTTATATAGTGTTGTTATTATTATTATTATTATTATTATTTTATTTGACTAGAAAGAGAGTGAGAGAGAGAGAGAGAGGGAAAGTGAGAAAGGAAGCTACCAGGTCCAGGACTTGAACCATGGTCAACCATGTGGGAGTCCAGCACCCTTAACCACCATACCTCCTGCGGGCCCCCACAGTTTTCAACTTATCAGAAAGACAACAAAGTTAAGGACAATGGGAAGATGGAGATTTGCAATTCACAATAGCCAATGGAATCAATTTAAGTGTTTATCAACAGATGAATGGATAAAGAAAATGTGGTATATATACACAGGGAATACTATTCAACCTTCAAAAAAAGGGAAATGCTGTTATTTGAAACAACATGGATGAACCTGGAGGACATTATGTTAAATGAAATAAGCCAGACCCAGAAGGACAAATACCACATGATCTCGATTATATGAGGAATTTAAAACAATCAAAGTCATAAAGTGGAGAATGTAGAATGGCGGTTACCAGAGACACGGTGGGGGGGAAGGGCGGAGGGACTGGGGAGACATTGGTCAAGGGTATAAAGTCTCAGTTAGACAGGAGGAATAGAAATGTCAATTCGATTAAGTTGGTATTGGTGTTATTCAAACTAATTACTCTATCTCCTTGTTGATTCTCTAGCTCTGCTACTACAGATTATGGAAAGGTAAATGTTGAAATATACAACTATTTTGTATCACTGCATAACTTACCCTTTTGCAATTATAGTATGTCCCCTTAGTTTGTGATAATAGTCTGTTCTGATATCTACTTTGTCTATTAACACAGACATTACTGCTTTTCTTTGAATTAGTGTTAATATGGTGTATCATTACTCCCATCTTTTTCTTGCTA